TGATTCATTCATTTCTTCTTTATCTTTCCTATACAGAGTCACTACAGAGTCACTAAGCGACTATAGATTCGTGGTTTTCACCACTATCCGCAATATGTAGTCGGTTTGACTTAAGCTGCACCGGATCTATAAACACTTCCAATTTGCTAGCTGAATATTGAAGTAACAAAATAATTAACACCCTCCCTAACGACATCCGCCTACTGGAGCAAATTTTGTCGGTTTCTGTGGAATTATTTAGGCCGTAAGACATCTATAGCGCAAATTCCAATTGCATTTGGATAATCTAAGAAGAAAAAATAAGAAAATTCCCGCGTTTATATACGTAGGTTGTAATAGCGCCATTCACGGGTGCATAAAACGTGTAATTAGTATGCTAGGTCGCTAAATTTGTATAACCATAAAAGGAAATTACAAGGGTTGCGACCAAGAGCTAAGACTAAGAATCAGGAAGAACTACGAATCCCAAACCATAATTCCATAATATGGTTATATTCAAACTGTATTACCTTATTGAATACGCCAATGACGAGACTAAGTTACATGTTGAAGAATTTTCAGCACGTGAACAATTTTATGTAGATACGATAACTCAAATGCGCTGAGAAAAACTCACCAACGGGGCGGCGCCTGACTACAACTCGTCCGAGTGCTCGCCGCCCTCCACGTACGGACGTCATCGATGAGTGGTCATCCCGGGGGCTTCTGCATTTCCATGCCATCGTGGAAACGTAAAGCATCTTGGAGATTCACGTCCAGTCTTGTCAGCTCATGTTGTTTGGTCACGTCCAGAATCTGAAATGAGAAGCTTTCGCTGAAACCCCGGGCTTCTCACTAAAAGGGCAGCTTTCAAAGTAGGGGGAGGGGTGAGGATGGCGACCAGCCTCACGCTCTTCCGGTATCCCTTCCATTATCATGCTTGGCCGGTCTCAATGGATTCTAGGCCTTCCGGTGCCTGGAATATCCTATAGGCGACTCCGATCGCCATATGCCCTACGCTGGCCTTTTTCGAGCGGAGAATCCTGCGGTGGACGCCCCCCCCTCCCCAAATTTGTTAGCGCCTTTTGCACTCTGTTCTTCGGTATGGATTGACGTTTATTGTGCATAAATGTACTTAAACCGCGCTTATACTTTGCCGACTCGAGATGATACCAGAATGCGCGCTAAGGGGAAGCATAGGTATCGGACCAGTGTTTTGGGGAATAGCAGAGTCGGAATAGAGAGAAAACCGCCAGACAATGGCCTAGAAAAGTAGATGATAATGCCGCGTTCACAGTTCGTGTAAGCGTCTGAAAGTACGCTTGCGTTTTGAGCGTTTCGCGGGTTTTATTGATTTTTCGCGGGTGGCCGCGAAACGTTGGGCGCTAGCTTGTTCAGCAGTACTGCGTCCTGACGACGAGCGGTCGGCGAAACAGTGAGTACGTACTGATCGGAGAAGTCGCCAACCGTCCGGAAAAACGTCGCCGCGATTTAGGCGAAAGCATAGGCAGTATCGATATTCGCCGGCTCTCCGCCCCAGGGGCGTCTCCTTCTAAAGAGACGCAGGGTCGCAGACTGTGAATAATGCCTCCAAACGCCAGATTGATATCTATACTTTCCTAGTCACTCAAACGCTGCCGTAAGTTCGAGACGGTCAAAACGCTGCTTATGCCCCGAAGCGCTCAAAACGTAAATTATGAACGCAGTCTTTTAAACATTGATGTTTGGAATCGGTTTCAACGGGACAACTAGTACTCAGATCCCTCCTAAGGCGACTTTTTTGTTCAACTTTCTTGTTTTTCTCTGCGCTCTCTTGTTCTGGGGTGGCGATTTGTGGCCAGTATTGAACCTTTCAATATTCAGACTTGTCACGCATTTCAAAGTGGCTCATCCACGCCCGATGTCCCGTCTCCTCGAAAAAGCTCATCTCCTGGCTCGCATCGTATTTTTTGTACCTCACGATGCCTTGGCAGTAGCAGTCCCTTATTGCTCTGCGCTCTGGCCTACCGTTTCGGACCCCCAGCAAAAGTTTTAGTTGTCACAAAACCCTTGGAATCCTGCTTGTGTAGAATTAGTCTACCGTATCGCCGGACTCACTTCAACGAAAATTGCAACAGCCTCTATTGCGATAAAAGAAACAAGCCAAGTTCTCGTCCAGGGACGTCTTCCATGTGGGGGAAGAGTTTTTGAAAAGTTGGCCTGAAATATATTGGATCCTGCGGTAGCGCATCCCTTCCGTCACCCCACCAACTATCCCTAATCGTTTCTGAGCTCCTGCCACTGCTTTTAAAGACAATTTCAATTTTTTCTCTACCAAAAACTGCAGATCGAACGTCGGGGGATGGTCGAGCACCGTACTTAAAACATGTGGAAAACAGAGGAAGAGCCAACGTTCCGAAAATATTTTATGAAGTAAAGTACGACCCCTCCTTCCAGCGACCGATTCGATCCCCTCGCTGGGGATCGTCACCGAATGACGTCTCCTACCTACAATCTCCTCACCCTTCCAGTAGGTCACATCCTACAATCTCCTCACCCTTCCAGTAGGTCACATATGACTCAAGCGGCAGAATCCTCCACACACGCTGGATCCTGAGCTCATACCCCAGGTAGCACCCACCAGTACGTTAACACTCAAGATCTCTTTAATACATTAAGGACGATTGTGCACATCCCCTGAGCACTATTTGTCTACCCTGATCCCCAGGGTGATGTAGATCGAACCCGCGGAGGCCAAAAGAAAATTTCACTGCTTTTCCTCTCCCCAAATGTGAGCCAATTGTGTCGAACTCTACCTCATAACTGGAGTACGCAGCGGACTCTATATTTCCATTGAAGGAAAAACCCTCATCCAAAGGCATACCCAAATGAGTCGCAGGAACACTCAGCAACGCCATGAGAAGACGTCCACGGCCAAACCTCTCAAGCCAAGTAGTCTTTCAGGGCACGCCCCTTCGTCAGCGGCCAAACGAAATAGCGGTTTACGCCCTGTAACTCGGGCAACGCTTTGTCATTTGAAATGTCGTAAGTTTGCGCGTTTTCGAATTTGAATTCTTTTCTGTTATTCTTTTGATTTAGAATGGCTATATTGGGGCTGTTTTGGCATTTCTCTGGGATTTCTTCCTATTCATGAATGCTCATAGATCTTTGCGTCGTAATTCTGAGTAGGTTATCGATTGATACACCTTAAACGAGACTGCTCACGCAGGTTGTATTTTTGATCGTTTTTTTATTTCGTTATTCACTTTCTCCGTTGGGAAAGAGCGCAGTTTCATTCAAGCCTAATATACATGCGGGTCGGGTGCTGTATAAAGCTAAGTGAAGACCATCATTCTCCACATATTGAACTCACTGCTCGAAGCAGAAGTGTGCGGGAAATATCCCCTTTTACCCCTCCTTTCCTTTCTTCGTTCATCTTCTTGCTCTTCTCTCCTTCGAGTATTTAACTAAAAGACGCTACGAAAAAATTCGGCACTGACGTAGGTGACCACGCGAGAAGTACCCTATCCCTCGAACGCCCCTCCCCCAACTTCTTTGCGCCAAGAATTCGTCTTAACTCTTGCAGAAGAGAGAAATTATAGTTGGGAGATACACTGTAATCCTGAGAGAGTATTCTGGCTCTTGTAGTATAGCTTTCAGTTTGTTACTGTAGACGAATTTCATCGCCGTACTGGGAATTCGGACCCAATTTTATGACTAGCGCTTATTCAGTTCATCACGAGAACCATATGATTCCTTCCTTTACTTGCAACGGTGTAGTTATCGTAGAAAATGTCGGGGCTGGAGAGGAGAGCTGTAGGCAAAAGCGTGAGTTGAACCTGGGCCAGTGTAGTGTGGTTTACTACTGAAAATAAGGAAAGGAACTGGAGCGTTGGTGACATAAAGAATGTGCTCACTGCTGGGAAGGTACCGGTTTAGGATGAAGCTATGCGTTTTGCCCTAGATGACGCTATGATAACGCTCTCATCTTGTGAACAAAAACTCTAGTCACTGGTTGAGCGAATTTTCTGGTTCAGTGCGAGCTAAATTTCTACTGAAATGAAAAGGTGTTATGACTTTCAATAGCCTTGAAATTGTACTTCTGAGAATCAGCTCGTCTGTGTTGTGCTTTTGAGCAGTATATTTGCCTCCGCGTTAAACGCCGTTGTAGATCACTTTGGCCGCATTCATACTTCGCGATCCGGTGGCTTGAATCGGGCGGCAACGATCGGGGCGCTCCACCACTCCATACGACGGGTGCGCTTACTCAATTCCTATCATATTACGGTGGACCAAACTCAGCTGGCATTTCAATAACGGAGGATAATTTCGGACTACTTTCGTTGCTTTGATTTGCCCGGTGAGCGATATTTTGCACCCCCCCCCCCGTCTTGACTTTGCTGTGGCCCACATTTGATGATAGGAACTGCATATATCACATTCAGTGTGGACGTAGTTGGGGGGGGGCACTTTTGGCGTCTTCGTATCCCTTCCTCTGATCAAGGCTCAGTGGAGAGCATGTCTTTCTTTGCGGGACTGTCTCTGCGATTTTGATCGTCCGAACCTTTTTGGGTTACAGAACTTCTGTCAACCGGATATCTTTTGCTGCGAGGATCCAGAGGTATTTCCTCACCGCATCCACTGGTCGAGCATGAAAGGAGAAGAAGGAATAGGGGATAGATAAGGAAGGAAAAAAGGAGGTAGGATGGAGACTGCGGATGGCAATATCCTGAGACCTGGCGCGACCAAGTGTCCCAGCAGAACATGCGTTCTTGTCCTAGTGACATGAAAACTTGCCTGGCAGACTTCTTCTTCTGCTGATTTGTATTCGTGAATCATTCTTCTTTTGAGTTATCTCTCCTGCTCCTTCCTCCAACAGATTACTTCAAGGAAATAGTGAGCAGGGGATCACTTGCTCCGAAAACGGAACGCAGATTGAAGCGGTCTACAGATTGGCGCTTGAGCGCTCCAGTCGCGGTCGCGGGATCCGAGCGATCAGATCGCGAACTATGAAAGCTCTCTTAATGAGAAGTATTTCAGGCATGAGTGCCTCGTTCATAGAAGGTGCAGCTGGTGACTCTATCGAAAGCGCAGCACAAAGGGTCTCCAGCCATATCGAGCACACCATCGACACCGCTGATATCTACAATAAGTTGACGCAAAATGGTATGCCCTATTCGCTCCGATATTGCGAGCTCCGCCATGCCAATTCCATGAAGTACTACACTTTTTAAGGAACATCGCCAGTTTCTGGCCTTGGGGACCGATTTTACACGAAAGGAGGTCTAGAATTCGTTTTGAAGCGACGTGTTCCATTACCTGAAGAGCTCTCCTATCAGATTAGAAGTGAAGTTTCTTCTTTCTTCAACTGGTTGTCTGCACAGTATCCAATAATTCTTGAACCATTTTAGATATGCGATCGCAATTTAGTATGGGGCTATTTCCTGAAATCACAAGGGCATGGGTTGTTATTGATAGTGATATTTTTATGTGGAACTATGAAACCAAGTAAGTAACGATGATTTCTAGCATTGATAATGTCTTTGAACGGTTCATTGAATTTCTTTTTTAGCGACGATCTTGCCTATTTTGATGCGGTTGAAAATACGGTTTTGAAGATAGCTTTAGCTCGCGTAAAGTCCGATGTATTTGCGGTAAGTTCAAGCTTCATTCTTGTGGCTAAAGGCATCCTGACCGATGGTTTTCTTGTTTTGCGCGAGTTTCATTTCTAAACTCACATTGAGAGCGGGCTTAGAACACGAGTGACAGTGGTTTGTGTGGATTTGTTGCGCTGCAGCAGATCCTCCATTCTGAACTCAATTATAAACTGCGTTTATACGGCAAAGTCAAAGTGCGCGGTGGTCGAGCTAGCGTTTAAGGAACCTCCAAAGCTAGGCTATTTTTCGCGAGACGCTCAAAAACGCTAGTATTTCACCTAAGCGCTTGAAACCCTCTAGCAATGTGTGAACTCAGCCTGTGGTATTATAATTACTTCTCTTATTTGTTATCCAAATATTGCCGCTTCTGCATGCGACGTTTTTTTTGTGCGATTTTGAAGCATTTCGCGAACCGATGTTACTGAAGTTTTATATGAGGAAATCAGGCCGCATTTAGACTACGCCCCGCCCCTTTTTGGGTGTGTGGGTGTCTGCCAGTCACATCTGGAACCCTTGCCACCTTTTTGCCACTTTCCCCATCTCTGGGCTGCTCCGGAAGCAGATTATGGAATTCCTGTTCGGCATGCCCCGCCCACAGTGGGCGGGGCTTCGAATAGGTCATGTGTGCTCTTTACTTGTTGTCCCATGCCCTACCTATCCCCACCTTCACCCGACCTCTCCAATTATGCCAGTCTGTGTTCATATTGCGAATCAACGCGAACGCGCTCGCTCTTCCTTGGGGCAACTGTACCAGCTAGCTGAAAAGCTATTCGGAATACAACGAAACTAGCATCCTACTCCAGCGGCTAGAGGTGGAGACACATAGGCTTCGCACACGCCTAAGCTTTTAGGAATGAAAATTCTGTGCGGACCTGGGTAAATCACGGGATGGGTAAGCAGCTGGACAACATTATAAAGCTGCAACGTGCTGCTAGAGTGCGATCACATCAGCGTTTTAAGCGTACGCCACCGTATTCAGCGACTAGGAAAGCACAGTTATCAACCTAGCGTACGCTCGAAACGTTAGACCGATACTTATACTTTTTAAACGCTCAAAACGCTGGCGTTCGCGCATATACAATCGTTGCCAATATGTGCGGAACTTTGGCGCAAAGTATGAACGCACTCTCTGGTCTGCATTAAGTGGTGCAATTGTTCAAAATGCCCATTTAGACACATATAACGCACGGTTTGGTTGTGGGTACTGTAACGGATCTTTCTCTTTACCCTGTCATTATGGATGTCGATCCAGTCACTGGGAAACCCGGCATCGCTATTGATGCTAGCCACTTTTTCAAGGTATGTCTGAACTTTTTTCAGATCAAATGTTGCTGTGCATCTTGATCTTTTCTATTTTTCAGATTAATCTTGACAGTGCGTCCTTGAATGATATCGTTTCGACTAATGATGGCAGGATATTTTTCACTGCCGATGATAAGTTGTATGAGTTTGTCTATGAGTGTGAGTTTTGGAAGGCATGTGAATGCCATACAGGGCGTTTGTGTTTTTACCTTTTTTGTCTCACTCTTCTTGTATTTTTCTTCCAGCACAATAGCGGCTGGTTTGGAGGAGGTCGAAAATGCCGTTGTGGTTAATCAATCGGTGACGTTGCTCAGTACTCTTATACCTTCTCGACCGGAAGCGTAACGTGACACTTTTCTTTCTTAGAAGTTTTATCTTTAGGGTGCCGTTTCTGTTTCCCACCCCAGAGGAACTTGTAACAATTGCTTTGGACAAAGTCGAAGAGCGTATTATATTGTTTAGCGGAGGAAACGGTTGCTTATGCTAGGTATGGCGCATAGTTATCGATTGCTTTTGATTTGGTATAAATGCTTGGCAGAATAGATATGTGGCGCTATTTGGCTTGGTGGGTGCACCAAATGGTACCCGGTGAAGTTTGTACAGGCCGTCTTGTGCAGACTTGTATTAACCTGTAACCACATGGGCTCACTTGCACCCATTCGAGATCTCACCGAAATGGTGCAAAGGACTAGCGGAAGTGCAAACGTTCCCCCCCCCTAAGCCGAACAGCGCCGTGTTATACTGCCGATATTTCAGGTATTTGATCTTGGCGGATGGACGGTACTTTCAGGTATTTGATCTTGGAGTGGACGGTACTCAGTGCAGCAGGGTGTGTGTCGTTACGGCTGGGCAGATTGCCGTAAGTGTTAGAGTGTTATTATTGTGCTTTTTGAAAATCTGAATGTCTACTCTGATTAGATAAATAGATATTATGAAATTTTTATAGAGTGAAGCTCATTTAATGACCCAGTACGGTCATGAAGAGTCTACCTTTACCAACATCGCGACTATTTGCGCTCTCGAAGCCCATCAATCGAATCAGCTCAATTTGGTACGAGTTCTTCTCCATGCATTTCCAGCACTAACGTAATTCGGAGGAGCCGCGTGGCAGCGCGACTGTTCACGTCATCTGCGCTCTGCCAAAGCTGAGCATTCGTTAGAGGAAGCGATGTGGATGCCCCACCGCGTGGCTCCTCCGAATCATTTGAGTCGTATATTCAGCGCTGATAATCAAATATTAGTTCTCTTGTATAGATAGCGGTAACGGCGAAAGGGGTACGAATATACTTCTCTGTGCTAGCACGGAATGTGGCGAATTCCAACCAGCAAGGACAGTACCTATCCCAAATGACCTATAAGGTGAGCCGTTTATTCTCCTTTTTTGGCAAGTGTAATGTGCTTGGTACGAGTAGTTTGACAGCTGGTCCTTTTTTATCGATTTGCCGCGGTCGGTAAAGCGGCTCTTACTCCTGTGCCTCCTGTTGCTCTAATTTGGAAACACTGAAAATACTTTTTATAGAGCCTTTCCCAGCAGGAAGTTCGGCCGCAGTGTCTTCGAGTAGCACATGTGAGGTTCTCACCAGGTGTAGCTCCAACGTCTATCTACCGTGACACTCCACAAGGAGTTTCAATCGCTTATGCCGACCAAAGTATAAATTTCAAACTATTCTCATAAAAGAAATGTTTGTTAACGATTGCTGGTAATTCAGGCATTTGTGTGATGGCAACGGCAAATCGCCAGCTGATTTGGGCGCTCTCTGATCTCTATCATCCACATAAAAATGTCTATTGTGAATCTATGGTAACAGTTTCTTTTCTCACTCCCTTTATTCTCAGCGGTTTAAAAAAATATTTACCAGAATGATCTACAAGTCGCTGGTAATGTATGGGCTATAACTCCTGTTTCGGACAAGGTGAGTCCTGTGGAGATTAAATTGCCTTGTTGCTAATGACTTTTGGACTGCGTTCATACTTTGCGACCGAGGAGATTCGGCGACCTGGAAGTCTCGGCGTATCCGGCGATTTAGCGCCAAAGGAGTGGAATTGATTGGCACCGGTTGCTAGCGATTGCGGAGATTCTGCGAATCGACGTTCCCTAAAACGCCGGATCGCTCAAGCTCTCAGATCTCGAAGTGGGATCTTCGCAGTCGCTAGCGAACGGCACCAATTAATACCCATCCACTCCGTGGCGCGCATTCGCCGAGAACGCCGAGTCTCCCGAGAACCGAGACGGATCGCGCAGTCGCCAGATCGGTCTGTGCTTTCCTCATCACGGCAATTTCTCAAACGCCGAATTTCCTAAGTCGCCAGAT